GAGGGCCATGGAACACCATGGCCTCCGACTTACTTAGGGCCACCTCCAGGCCCAGGCGCCGGATGCGGTTCACCACTTGTGACACCGCAGCCGTGGCAACCAACGCTGCTTCCCTGTGCGAACTCCCCCGGGCAGTGACGAGCGTGTCATCCGCATAACACGTCAATTCGGCGCCCGACGGGAGTTCACCTCTCAGCACCCAGTCGTAGCCGATGTTCCACAGGAGCGGTCCCAAGACCGATCCCTGCGGAACACCGCACGACATGACGCGCCGACCAGCGCCGTCACGTCCCCAATAGGTAACGCATCTCTCCTCAAGGTAAGCCCCTATTATGCGGCGGAGGTAGGGAGGCACGCGATGGTAATTCAGTGCCTCCCGAATACAACTCCAGGGTTGGGTGTTGAAGGCGTTGGAGATGTCTAAAGACACCGCCAGCACCACCCCACCCCGGGATACTGTCTCCTCCGCCAGGGCCCTCACGCGAACCTAACCTAACCTAACCTAACCTAACCTAACCTAACCTAACCTAACCTAACCTAACCTAACCTAACCTAACCTAACCTAACCTAACCTAACCTAACCTAACCTAACCTAACCTAACCTAACCTAACCTAACCTAACCTAACCTAACCTAACCTAACCTAACCTAACCTAACCTAACCTAACCTAACCTAACCTAACCTAACCTAACCTAACCTAACCTAACCTAACCTAACCTAACCTAACCAGTTCCGTTCCACCCGCCGTCCCGAACGCCACGTTTTTGAGTCGCTCCGCGCTTAAAAATTCGTAAAAATAGGTTTTTTGCATCGGATTTTTGCGTGCGATATATCAAAAGACGCGTCTCCTCTAGAGGTTTAAATAAGTGGAAAGTGCTAGAAAATCGGAGTTTTGGTTGAAGAGTTATTCGGAAAAAAGTGATTTTCAAAAGGTTAAAAATCTTTAAAGTGGAACGCTGTGCGATTAAGCGCTTTGACCCCAACTTTTTATAGTGTGGCTCTAAAGCTATCAGTGGCCTCTACATATGTGCAAAATTTGTGATCTTTCCGAAGCATAGTTTCGGAGAAAAACGTAAAAAAACAAGTGCCACGTGGGCACGTGTTCCGTGATCCGGAATCGTGCGGCTAGTTTTGAAGCCGTACTCCGGTAGCACACGTGGAGAAGAGGTTGGTGCCCATTTCAAAACAAATTTAAGTTAAGTGGTTTAAGAATTATTGAACTTTTAATTTTCGGAAAAATTTCAAAATTAATTTCTTTAAAAACTAAATCGAAGACCCCCAATTTTTATTTTGCGGCTTTGAAGCTATATGTGGTCCCTACAACCGTGCAAAATTCGAGATTTTTGTGAGCAACAGTTTCTGAGAAAAACGTAAAAAAACAAGTACCACGTGGGCACGTGTTCCTTGATGCAGAATCGTGCGGCTAATTTAGGAGTCGCATTCTGTTAGCAAACGCGGAGAGGAGCCGGGAGCCGTTTTTGGAACTTTTATAAGTGAAGTGGTTGAAGAAATATTGAACTTTTAAATTTTAGAAATAATTGTTAATTAAATTATTAAAAAACGAAATTGAATCTCCTAGCTTTTATTATAAAATAGTGTTAAGACTACTGCACTAAATGTATATACAAAATTTTGGATTTTTACAATAAGTAGTTTTTAAGTTAGAAATTTTTTAATATTTTTATATAACCACATGTTATCCTTTATTACCTTTATGAACTCTGCTGCTATTTTCGGAAAGGCCTTAAAATAGATACATAATTTAACTCCAAATTTCCGTTTTCAGAACTCGATTATCTCACTTAGTTTCATAGATACGTAATTTTTTGTACAACTTTCGTGTTTTTTTCGTTATTAATTAAAATTAAATAATAAATCTCCAAATTTCACAAAATTTTTGAAATCCTTAAACAGAGAGCTATCCGTAGAGCCCAAACTCGGCTATATTATCTTCTTAATCTCAAAAGTTAGAAAAATTAGAAATTTTGGGTCGCCATATTGGAAATTTAACTTTTTGAATTTCTCGGGAAGTAATTGGCCAAAAGTGGTCGTGCTTGGTCTTAGTCTGATCGGGAGGGTTTGGAGAAAGCTTTCATTTGGTTATCGTGAGCAAAAAATTTAGGTGGCCCACTAGCCCAGGAACACATTCTCCGTAGTATTCCCTGCAGATTGAGCCCAAGCTCGAGCCATTTCGGTGAGTAAACACCGTCTTGGTAACGAAAAGAAGAATCAGGTCGGCCATATTGGAAATTTTGTTTTTCGAATTTCTCGGAAACTACTCGGCTAAAAGTGGCCGTGCTTGGACTTAAATCAATCGGGAGAGTACGGGGAGAGCGATAGTGTTACTAATTTATGATAAAACTATAGGAGGCCCACTAGCCCAATAAATACACTCTCCGTATTATTCTCTACAGATTGACTCCAAACTCGAGCCTTTTCAATCCAAAAACACCACTTTGGCAACGAAAATAGGAATTAGGTCGGCCATATTGGAAAAATTCAAATGTAAATTGCTCAAGAACCACAAAATCTAGACTACCCGTGCTTGGGCTTAAATTATTGGGTATCAAATAAGGAATCTAACAGACCTAGAGTTGACTCAATTGCGCTTGACCTCCAACTGATAACAAAGAAAAACTTCCATAATGTCAACCAAATCCACAGTCTCAGGCGCTGGCACAGCTAAAACGAGGTCTTCTAAGACAAGCAGAGCTGCGAGTCCAACACCAAGTGGTCTGCGTAAGAAGGTATTGTTACAGAATGCAGCCACGTCCGGAAAACTAGCAGATGAAGTATTTACTAGCAAAAATTATATTGTCACCGAGCCACGAACTGATACAGCCAGTTCTGCGCAATCCAGCAAAGTCGCCGAGGGCGAGATTGATCATATTAAGCAACCCGAGTCAGTAACACACGAGGAAGCAATGGATGCTAGTAGCTCGATGACAATGGACATGGAAAAAGAGCTAAACATATTAGGCCAGTGCAAGCCGGTTCGGGAAACCGACGATGACTGGTCCGATGGAGACAGCATCTATAGCACCAACAGCAGAAGGTCGAGCATACTGCCCCCCGCTTATAAACGAGCGGGAATATCCATGGACTTAGCTACTCAACGCGCCAATGACTTCTTGCTCTCAGGCAAGGAAGCCCTAGAAAAAGCGGGCAACATGAAGAGAGAGTGCAAAAATGAGGTGCACGACTCTCTTCAGGGCTTATACGAGACGGTACTGTCACTTTCTGATTCGCGTTCACGACACCGGCTAGCCTTAGAACAAGAAAAATGTCGAGCAGCTAAGGAATTAGTTAGAATAGAAAGAGCCCATAATAAGCAACTAGCAGAAATTCAAACTTTGCATTATAACACGATAAAAGAAATGTACGAAGCTGTGAAGAATGCAGGAAATGGTGTTGAAGCAATCCGTAGCTGGCTGAATTACGAAATGGACGAACCCTTGAAAACCATTAGTAAAATTCAAGTGGAAGTGCGAAGCTTAGCATCCAAAGCACAACCTCTGCCAGCCGAGATTAGCTCGATTGCATATACGGGGACATGTACTGAGGATCTTACACAACTAAATGGAAAGATAGCGGAAATGACTGGTCAGCTTAAGTGCCTGACCATGTCAATTAACGAACTTTCTAAGCTTCGATCTGAAGAACCGCCGCCTTTGCCGGTTCAAGCCGAAATCAGACCCTCAGATGACCCTCGTATTGGAGATATAATTAATCATATACTAGAGACAAAAGACATGATCCAAACCCTTCAATATACCCCGCCAACAGACATTGACCAACGAAAAGAGGCCGAAGCGGCTTTGCAACCGATAGCTCATATGGTACAAACCTTATTGGCAGAAATTACCGAGCTAAAGGATTGCACTACCGCACAGGTGGTATTTCAAGGGAATTCAGGGTTGGGTACTGAGCTAGCTGTAACTGATATCAAGGAAAAAATAGAAGAGTTAAGAAAAGACTTAAGTAACAGACAACACACAGGTTGCAACAAAAATGAAGATCAAGATAACAGTACAACCCCACAAATGTCTGTTCCAAAGTCATCTTCACCGCATAAAACTACATACGCTGAAGCTGTGGGAACACCTCGATATGCAATGGTCCTGGAATCTATAGACCCGCGATCAACAAGCGATGAGATCCTGAGACAGGTAAAAAAAGAGGTAGACCCAGTTGAACTTGGAATTTGTGTGAATAGAATAACTAAACTAAAAAATCAAAAAGTTGTCATTAGCTGCGATTCGCAACAAGATAGACAAACCTTAAAAAAAGCAATCAGGGATACATGTAACAAACTAACTGTCTCAACCACTTCTGTAAAACATCCTCAGTTACGCCTAATAGGAATTACTAATGAGCTTAATGACGATAAGCTAGTTAAAGCAATTCTTACTCAAAACTCTAAATTAATTACAGACTTAGACGAAGAACAAAAATTCGTTAAAGTTCTCCGTAGAACTAGAGGCAGGACACGCGACCTAATCAATGTTATTCTGGAGGTCACGCCGCATATGTGGATACGACTGAAGGATAAAAAATTACGTATAGGCTTTCAGATAATCCCCTGTATAGATCAGTCTCCTCTTATGCAGTGTTACAAGTGTCTGAGGTTCAATCACAGAGCTAAGGACTGCACAAATGACTTAGCCTGTGGGTACTGCTCTGGAAACCATGACACGAGGACATGCTCAAACAGAAATGCAGCTCCTTTATGTAATAACTGCAATAAGTTGGGCAAAGAAAATGCTACCCATCCTGCTTATAGTCCCGAATGCCCAGAGTGGCAAAAATGGGATAGCATATCAAGAAGCTCGGTTTCATACTGTTAAGACACGGATGATCAAAAAAATGACACAGAAACACCAAGCAACCTTGAAAGCAAAAAAATTATAAAAGTAGCACAATATAACCTTGATCGTGGCCGCGCGGCAACACTTGAGTGCTTACGCGCCGCCACTACGCAAGGGTATTCTGTTATATTAATGCAAGAACCTTATGTTGGAGCAAAGGCACACTTAACAGTGGGTCCACAATACCGTGTAATTCAAAAGGTCACTAATGATATCAACAAGCCAGTGAGATCTGCAATAGTTGTCATAGACCCTAATATTAACTTCACTATCAATCCAAACTTACTAACCGAAGACATCGTAGGCATTGTACTAAAAATAGATAATCATAACATTGGTTTTATTAGTATCTACTTGCATGAAAAAGGTGTAATTGAAGAAGACTTGGCCACGATTAAGACATTCGTGGAAGCAATGCAGACAGAAGACGTCATCATTGGTGGCGATGCAAATGCCAGCAGCATCTGGTGGGGTTGTAAGGCGGATGACAACAGAGGAACACAGATTATGGAAACTTTCGCCGAACTCAATTTGGAGGTACTTAACACAGGGAAAGTACCTACTTTTAGCGCATACAGAAGGGATACCCTCTGCTCCAGCATTATAGACATTACCGCTTGCACAACATCACTCTTGCATAAAGTTGAGAATTGGGGAGTTGATAATTCTTTCTGTACTTTATCTAACCACAAGCCAATTCTCTTCAAATTGAGCATGTCATCTTCATTTACTGAGATAAAAATCAATAGCACCAGAAAATACAATACAAGGAAAGCAAATTGGTGTCGTTTTAACTCTGAATTCCGGAAGACACTTGACAACAATGGTCTAACCAAGAAAAGAATAGAGGAAATTATGACGACACAGCAGGTCGAAGAAATTGTTAACACATACACAGAAAGCATAACAAAGGCATGTGATGAGACGATTCCGAAAATAAATAGAAAAAAGGTTTCTAAAGCGGCTAAATGGTGGAACACAGAAATTAAAGAAAAAAAGGAGATAATGATTAGATTAAGAAGAAGAATAAGGAATGCACACCCTACTAGAAAGAACTGGGTCATAGAACAATATCTCGAAGCACGACAGCAATATAAAAAAAGCATAGAAGATGCCACAACCAAAAGTTGGAAAGAATTATGCACGAACGAGCAGAAAGAAAACGTGTGGCAACGCACATATCGCATACTGAAGGTCTGCTCTAATAGAGAGGAAGATAAACTACTTAAAGACCAAAATGGAGCAATCCTTTCAGAAAAAGAGTCAGCAATACTTCTAGCTGAAACTTTTTATCCTAAAGACAGCTCAAACACCGATACAAAGGATCAAAATGAAATTAGAACAAAAACAAATGAATTTATAGCACAATTCGGAAACAACGCAACAGAGATTAAGACACCATTCGCTAGAACTGAAATAGACCAAATACTAAGTAACATGAATCCGAAAAAAGCCCCAGGAGAAGACGGCCTGACATCCGACATATGCCAAGCAGCTTATAACAGTAACCCAGAGCTTTTGGAACTACTCTACAACAAATGCCTCCAATTAGGATATTTTCCCAAAACCTGGAAAAAGGCAACAATCAAGGTAATCCCAAAACCCAACAAAGAAGATTACACCCATCCTAAAGCATACAGACCTATTGGCTTGCTACCAGTACTTGGTAAAATACTGGAAAAACTTTTTACGAATAGAGTCCAATGGCAGTTAGGAAAAGACGAAAGGATGAACCAGAGACAGTATGGATTCACTCCACAGAGAAGCACCGAGGATGCATTATATGATACTATAACATTAATTAAAAATGGACTAAAAAAGAAAGAAATAGTAATACTAGTGTCATTAGATATTGAGGGCGCATTCGATAACGCATGGTGGCCCGCAATTATTACAGAACTCAGAAACAAACAAGTTGAACCTACGATGTTAAAACTTATAATTAGTTACTTATCAGACCGTGAAATAAACTTAAACTATGCCAACGAAAATATTACATTAAAAACTAATAAAGGATGTATCCAAGGATCGACTTGCGGCCCCATGCTGTGGAATATTCAACTTGATCCCTTACTTCAGACAACGGAAATCTCTGCAGCCCACGTACAAGCCTTTGCTGACGACATCTTAATAATAGCCTCAAATAAAGATGGACAACAACTAGAAAAAGATGTAAACGATACTCTTAAAACAATTTTAGAATGGGGACAAAAACACAAGCTAAAATTTGCCCCACATAAAACTCAAAGCACAATAATAACAAAAAAGCTTAAATTTCATCGCCCCAAACTACTTATGGATGGAATAACCTTAGCATACACAGATCAACTCAAAATTCTTGGTTTAATTATAGATAAAAACTTAAACTTTAAGCCTCATTTAGACTATATTTGCAGTAAAGCAGTTCGATTTTACAAGACGCTATCAAGAGCAGCACGAGCACAATGGGGCCTTAACTCGGACATAGTAAGAACTATTTACCAAGCTGTGGTCGAACCAACCATTTTGTATGCTGCGAGCTGTTGGGTAGAAGCAACTAACAAGGAATATATAAATCGAATGCTTAATAGGCTTACACGAATGTTTAGCATTCGCATTTGCAAAGGCCACAAAACTATCTCCCTTGTATCCAGCGCGCTACTAGCTCAGATTATACCACTGGCACTAAGAGCCAGAGAAAACGCCGAATTATATGAGATCAAAAGAGGCAAGCACATTGATTCACTCCCTGGGAGACAATTGCAGATGAGAATAAGTCCTTTTCACCTACCGCACCCCTCATTAAGAATTAAGAGAGAATACAACCTAATAACGTGCCAAGAAGACATTAACCAAATTGACAACAACTGGCCAAAACTTTTTACAGACGGCAGCAAAATGGATAACAAAGTAGGGGCGGCTGTTTCAGTATGGCAGGATGGAAAAGAAACTAAAACCATCACCTGTAGGCTGGAAAGTTACTGCAGCGTATACCAAGCCGAATTAATTGCTATTCTGAAGGCAGTCACATATATGCTTGAAAAGAAAAACCTTAAAGCCAACATCCTCAGCGACTCGAGATCAGCAGTCATAACAGTTTGTAATCCTACGTCACTTAATCCAATTGCAGCTGAAATTTCTTCGAAGCTAAATGAAATAGAAAAAAAAGAGGGCAAAGTCCTGATCTACTGGATAAAAGCTCACTGCGGCTTATTAGGTAACGAAAGAGCAGATGAGCTAGCTAAATATGCCGCTACTAGAAAAAAACAGAAGGCAACTTATGATTTGTTCCCATTGTCTTACGCCAAGCACCTCACCAGAAGCAACACACTACTAAGATGGCAAACCAAATATGAAGAAGCAGCAACCAGTGGGACCACAAGAACGTTTTTCCCTAATGTTATAACAGCCTATAAAGTTTTAAAAAATATAAAAATAACAAATATTGTAACTCAGTTGTTTACTGGCCACGGTGGTAACAAGGCCTATCTTTTTAGATTTAAGCTTTCATCATCCCCATACTGCACATGTGATGATAGTACAGAACAAACAATAGAACATCTAATTATAGACTGCCCAAGATTTGGCAAAAAAAGATATGAGTGTGAATGCAATATGGGAATGAACATAGTACGTAAGAATCTTAGCACTATTATGGCTGACAACGATTGTAGATCTCACTTCATACACTTCGCTCTTTCAATATTAAGGGTTGTTAACACGGAAAACGGGAGTACTATAGTAGACTAACACTTTTAGATTAAGTAAATTACTCTAAATTTCTCCAAAATAACTAAACATATGACCATTTTTGTAGCATAACATAAAATTGTAGTCAGAATAAATAATATCCCGTTTGGCATTAATGCTTATATTACTACTGAAAGATTTAGATCAAAAGTAATATTATTAGAATAGTGACAGCGTGTAAAGTATAGCGTAAGAGTAGATAATCAAAACAATAATTGTAATAATCATATTATACAGGGTATTTTTGGAACGCTCCCGAAAACTAAGACAGGCGACAACACCAAGTACACCTTTGATCATGGGTCACAAATAAATTCGATCCTGATGAAAAAAAAATCAACTTTTTACACCGTTTTATTAGCTTTATTCACGCGCCATCATGTTAGTACAGCTAAATGAAACGATAATTTCATAAAATATATCATGAAAATACTGAAACATAAAACCAGCAGTGGAATGACTGAATTTATATCACCTGACTGAAAGGTCAATGTACGCGCGAACGCAAATTCGCGCGGCCCGCAACTAGCGGGCCAAACCACAATATCTAATAATTTACAACACTTGTCTAAATACCTTACTTATCTACTTAACCTACTATTTTGCCACTGTGCTTGTCTCCACTTAGCCACTTTAATCCGAATTTACAGGTTAAATAACCCAAATAACTGGTTCGATTCCCCGCTAATGAAAAAATACTTAAATGAAATGTAACCAAAGTTGGAGTCATGAGTTTTTATTCATCGTGTATGTTTATTATTCTCATGTATTCAGTTATGTACCTATTCAGATTAGTCTAGTACTAAGTTATTTAAAAAAAAATAGGTATGAAACAGCTTACCGCTCTAAATCCTCCGTGGTCTTATGAGATGCGGCTCAAATTGTGCTCCATTCATTTCAAGGTAGATTTGGGTGCAGGCGGGGCATCATCGTGTGGTCTTCGACACAGTCCGTACGTAGTTTCTCGAAACCATCCACGATCCTTTGGCGCATTTCTTCAGCACTATCACATTCACGATTAAAAACCCTTTCTTTTACATACCCCACAAAAAGAAGTCTAACGGAGTCAGATCTGGTGAGCGAGGTGGCCAAGCGTGTGGTCCTAGTCTGCCGATCCAGCGATCATCAAATAACTCATTGAGGCGCTCACGGACGAACCTCACGAAATGTGGAGGGGCACCATCATGTTGGAACCATGTGCGGCGATATTCAGCCAACGATAGGTCGTTTAAAATGTCAACCAACTGTTCATTTATAAAGTTTAGGTATCGCTGTCCGTTCAGTCGCTCTGTCAGAAACACTGGTCCCAGTATGCGATCCTTAAATAAACCTGCCCATACGTTAACCGACCATCGGGTTTGGTGCCCGGTTTGTCGAACAGCGTGCGGGTTAACCTCTGAATACACGTGTGTATTTCTTCGGTTCCACAGGCCGTTTCTGGTAAATGTCGACTCATCCGTCCAGATAATGTGCTCAATGGAACCAGGCACACGTTGTTGCTGGTATAATAACCAACGGCAGAAAACTCGTCGGCGGTCGTGATCGCCGGGAACTAAAGCTTGCACTTTGTGCAATTTGTATGGGCGCATTGGTTACGCTTCAACACTTTGTGCACTGTACAGTATGACACACTTGTACGATCCCGACGTCTTAACAATTTATTTAGCGATACTTCGTGTACCTAGGTTCGGATACCTAACATGTTGACCACTATAAACGTACGCGTTAGGCATTATTAAAACAAAAAAGAATCCAAAAACGTAACAAAAACTTTAATATCAACACGTAATCACAAGTAAATTTATTAAACAAAACGATTGAACTGTCGCTCGCGCACGCGTGTACAAAATCAACACGGAACTGTTTCAAAAACTACAATTAATAACGAACCCCGACGAATAAACGGAAACCTACTGCGTCACAGCGTGACGACACGAGCCGGCCGGGTTACATTCTGCGAGGCGACATGAGCCGGCCGGGTTACATTCTGCCGTCATACGAAATAAAGAAGTACGCAACTAACAAAAACGTAAAATGGAAATAAAAAATAAATTTATGAATTTTTCTTTCAGACCCCGTGTCTAAAGTATATTAAAAGGTATCTATATGAAAATTGAAATATGTACGTAGAGACATGAAGATTTTAAGGACGAACTTATTTTTTGATAATTTGTTTATTTATTTAAATAAAACGAATTTTCCTTTTCATCTTAGATTAAAACATACACCTGGCAACACAAAAACATCGAAGGAAAGACGCATATAACTATTTGCGTCTTCCCAACCTAATAAATAAAAAAAACTGCCATTCATTTAACATTTTTACATATTTTGGAAAGGTCATTTGAAGTTGAAAGGACGCTAATAGTAATTTACTACTTTTTTCTTAGTAAATATTAGAAAAGCATTGGTAGTCAGACACAAAAAATAACAACCCGCAACTCTTGAGTAATGATTTTAAAGGGGATATCATACAAGACTTACTACGATAATAATTAAAAATTTTGTACAACCGACTTTAATATAAATAATTAAGGATGACTCAAAAACTATTGGTCTGACCTCGATCAAATTTATATGGGACCACATGTGAAACACCAGCTCTTAGTAATAAGATATAAGCTCTTAATAATAAGATATAGAATAAAAAGACAAGAATAATTGAAATTTAAGTAATCGATGCAAATATTGTTAAAGATGACGTAGCCACTGGTTAAATAAGTCTTTTCTTTTATGTTGAAGTCTTTTCTAATAAAAAGATGTCATCTGTGATCAACAGTTACGTCTAAAATCCTTACGATAATTTCTAAAATATTGATATTTGTGAATATTAAAAAAATTTAGTAGATGCGCCTTCTTATCATGAGTCATGGTATATTTAACTCATTTATTCAAAAATTGTTAGATGCGCCCTTTTTTCTTCCGACCGCATACCATTGTTTCGTACCGAGCTAGATACAGGTCGACAGCGGAGGAAGTGTGGGTACAGTCGCGTTCTAAAGTACTACATGGTATTGGGCTATTGTTTTATAATATTATAGTAATTAATTGTTTAATTGTGGAATCATAATAGGTGTTTTACTATTTACTTAGAACTTTGGAAGAGGTGGGAATTAAAAATGGATAATGTTTACTTGAGCATTATTTGTTATTTCTATCGTAAAATATAAAGTAGTTTGTAACAAAAAAAACTTAAGGGTGACACGCCGTCCATTATGACGTCTTGGGTCACATGAAAGTCAGATGTTGATGGTGTGTTGGTATTACTGGATGCTACTTCATCATCACTTTCATCTTCGCTTGAGCTTCCGTCATCAGGTCGATCACATGGTAATTTTTTCGGTATTCTCCCTCAACACTTTACTGCACAATTTTCCCCATTCACCTTCTCATATCATATTTACCTTTTCGTTCACTAGTTTAGTCATAAAACAATAGATATAAATAATTTTTGTTTCCTTCCTTTTTAAAACATCGTCGCGAGTCGCAAAGTAAGCTGTGTATGCGACTGTATTTTTGGAGCGAACAAAGCGCGTGAACCAATAGCATGCAGGCACAGTAATACTGGCGGATTGATCCCCCGTCGCACCCCCCTCGTACCTATATGTGATAAATCGCTCAATGCCCAAGTTCAAGGCCAGCGTTCTTTTTTCACCGTTCGCGCGTACATTAACCTCCATTAGTCAGGTGATATCAATTCAGTTTCCACTGCTGGTTTTATGTTTCAGTATTTTCATGATTTTTTTTATGAAATTATCGATTCATTTAGCTGTACTAACATGATGGCGCGTGAATAAAGCTAATAAAACGTTGTAAAAATATGATTTTTTTTTCATCAGGATCAAATTTATTTGTGACCCATGATCAAAGGTATACTTGGTGCTGTCGCCTGTCTTAGTTTTCGGGAGCGTTCCAAAAATACCCTGTATAGTAGATTTCTAATATAAGTTGAAAAGAAAGAAAAAAAAAAAAAAAAACAAAAATCAAAGTATATTAACTTTGATTATTTCTTATTATGTTTGGGATAAATTGTAAATATACTTAATGTAGGAAAATTGTGGTCATTATAACTATAAGTAATATCCTGTTAATTAATGATTATATAAATTACTGTAACAACGAAATAACTTAGTAACAATTATGGAATCTGTCAATACAACGGTAAATTGTTAACATACTTAATTTATAAGCAGAACGGAACAAAAAAAAAAAAAAAAAAAAAAAAAAAAAAAAAAAAAAAAAAAAATTAGATTGATTAAACAGTACGGAAAAAAAAAATAGTAAGAAGGGTACTGCAGAAAAGTAGTAGTAACAACAGAATAATAAAAAAAAAAAAAAAAAAAAAAAAAAAAAAAAAAAAAAACCTAACCTAACCTAACCTAACCTAACCTAACCTAACCTAACCTAACCTAACCTAACCTAACCTAACCTAACCTAACCTAACCTAACCTAACCTAACCTAACCTTTTTTTTTTTTTTTTTTTTTTTTACGGGGGGAAATCCTCATGGACTACCTCCGCCTGGGGAAAGGCGGAGGGGCGTGCCGGACTCTTACCGGCTAAAACCACCCCGGTGTCTCCTCACACGTGCGCGTGGGGCCGCGGGAATCCAAATTCTTCCGCAGCCCCACACTAGTGCTGGCCCGGTCTGTCCGGGCCTCGTCTCCTGCACGGGGTAGTGAGGTGTTAAACTACCCCGTGTATCGCCTCAGGGGCGCGCGCCGACACCCGCGCGCGCCTCCGCCTCGGGTCCATCGAGTAGGGGTGGCGGGGGCTTCCCCAAGTCCCTCGCCCCTGGACCCATTTATGGGGGCCGGAAAAGGGCGTTGTCCGCCCTTCTCCTGCGCCCGGTGCGCCTTCTGCGGCCAGGGAAGGGAGTCGAGATCTCCCTTTCCCGTTCCGCAGTTTCCTTCTGCGACATCACGTCCTCGCAGAAGGACACCACTGCATCCCACGACTCTGCGCTACCGACCATCTTCTGCACTAAGGCCGGCAGCGACAGATCGCCTCCTACTTTATTTGTGAGGACACGGCGCTGCTCCTCCCAAGCTACACACTCGGCGAGCGTGTGTTGCGCCGTGTCCTCCCCGCAATGGACGCAGTGGTGGCACCGAGCGTCTGGCTCCCTGTCTATGCGGCGCAGGTACTTGCCGAAGCAGCCATGCCCCGACAGCACCTGCGTCACCCTAAACGACAGGGAGCCGTGCCTTCTCCCGAGCCAGTCGTCGAGTACTGGCCGGATCGCCTCGACGGTAGCGAGGCCGGCGGTAGGGCGCAGAAGCCTTTGCCGCCATTCCGCCACCAAGACCTGACGGAGCTCCTCTCGGCGCAGCGCGATCTGCCGCTGCACCGGTCTCGAGCCCCGTGCCCGCTCTTCCTCGCGCCATCGATATAATGACGCGAGTACTTTCGCCTCTAGGTCCCAGGGCGGGGATCCGGCCAGGACGCAAGCCGCCTCGTAGGAAATCGTGCGATACCCGCGGACGACTCTGACGGCCATCGCCCTCTGCGGTTTACGCAGAATGGCGAGAGTGCTGGCCGTCATGTCCATCGCCCACACAGGGGCCCCATACAGGGCCATGGACCGCACGATTCCCACGTACAACCGCCTACAGGCGGCGCTCGGGCCCCCCAAGTTGGGAAGCAACGTTGATAGCGCGCCCGCTGCACCCATCAGCTTGGGCGCTAGCCGCCGGAAGTGGGGTCCGAATTCCCATCGGCTGTCGAGCACCAATCCCAGATACTTCATGGTGGACTCGACAGCTATCCGGGCCCCGCTGACCACGATGTGTGAACCCGGCGGCGGCGCGCGTCGAGGGCCATGGAACACCATGGCCTCCGACTTACTTAGGGCCACCTCCAGGCCCAGGCGCCGGATGCGGTTCACCACTTGTGACACCGCAGCCGTGGCAACCAACGCTGCTTCCCTGTGCGAACTCCCCCGGGCAGTGACGAGCGTGTCATCCGCATAACACGTCAAGTCGGCGCCCGACGGGAGTTCACCTCTCAGCACCCAGTCGTAGCCGATGTTCCACAGGAGCGGTCCCAAGACCGATCCCTGCGGAACACCGCACGACATGACGCGCCGACCAGCGCCGTCACGTCCCCAATAGGTAACGCATCTCTCCTCAAGGTAAGCCCCTATTATGCGGCGGAGGTAGGGAGGCACGCGATGGTAATTCAGTGCCTCCCGAATACAACTCCAGGGTAGGGTGTTGAAGGCGTTGGAGATGTCTAAAGACACCGCCAGCACCACCCCACCCCGGGATACTGTCTCCTCCACCAGGGCCCTCACGCGCGTAATAGCGTCTATGGTGGAGCGCCCGCGACGAAAACCAAACTGGTTCTCGTCTAGGTCCGGCCCCTCTCTGCACAAGTGGCCGACGAGGCGATCTGCGATGATACGCTCAAGAAGTTTGCCCGCCTCGTCGAGCAGCACTATGGGCCGGTACGCGGACGGTGAGTCCGCGGGGCGCCCCTCCTTCCTGAGCAGGACCAGCCTCCCCTCCTTCCACACACTGGGAAACTGACCCTGCTCGAGACATGCCGTGAAGAGCCCTCTCAGCTGGGGCTCTAGCTCCTTCAGAGCCAGGACGAGAGCTCGACCAGGAACTCCGTCGGGTCCGGGCGCTGTGTTCTTAGCCCGGAGTCGCGACACGGCCACTCTCGTCTCTGCTTGCGTCACCTCGGGGACATCGGTGCTGTCCTCTTCTGGAGAGTCTGTGGCTGAGGGCGAAGCCATCGCCGGGGGAACGTGTCCCACTCGCTCAGGGAAGAGAGTCGATAACACCGACTCTAGCAACTGGGGTTGCATCCTTTGTGTTAGTGGAGGCGCCCAAGGACGCAACTTGCCCCGAATCCAACGGTAGGGGCGCCCCCACGGATCCCGATCTAGGGACCCCAGCAGCTCCTCCCTGGCACGCGACTTTGAGTCGCCGATGGCCAGCCACAGAGTCTCCTTAGACGCGCGGTACACCTCATACAGCGCGTCCTCCTCGGCGGAATCCCGTCGACGCCGCCTCCGGTATCGGGTGTACCGGCGACGAGCCGCAACGCACGCTATGCGCAATTGCGCGATCTCGGCGGTCCACCAGTACACCTGGCGCTTTGCGGACCGTTGGCGGACACGGGGCATTGACGCGTCGCAGATCTGCGTCATCGCCCCGCGAAACCATAGCGCCACCGCTTCGACGTCGACGGGGCCGTCCGTCGTCGACTCCCAGATCCAGGACTGAACTAGGGCAGCTTCCTCGAGTAGTTCCCTGTCGATGCGCTTAAGCGCCCAACGCGGGCCGTCGTTAATCGGGGTTGTAGGATGGCGGCCACTCGCAGTCTGGGCAGAGACGTCGAACCGGATATATCGATGGTCCGACAGCGTCTCCACCTCTGCGGCGACACGCCAGTCGCGGACTCGGCTGGCGACAGAGGGGCTAGCAAACGAGACGTCCACTATCGACCCACCCCGCTGCCGCACGCACGTGTATTCCGAACCCCGATTCAGGACGACCAGACCAGTCGTCACCGTCCACTCTTCTAACACCTCGCCCCGAGGGTCAGTGACCGGAGATCCCCACGCCGATGACTTGGCGTTGAGATCCCCGAGCACCAGAACGGGACGAGGGTGATAGCGGCCTACGGCGGCGCCCAACTCGACAAGGAAACCCTCAAAGTCGGCGAGACTCTTGTTGGGGGAGAAATACGCCCCTACAATAACGATGCCGCCCGAGACCGCAGCAACCCAGCCGCGGCCCCGAGACGGGTCGATCAGAGTCTCGCCAATAATGGCCACCAAACCGTCAGCGCATCCCAACCAGTTGTCACGGGCGGGAATGAAGTAAGGTTCGGCGACCACAGCCACGTGAATCGACCACTCTGCCATGCTCTGGAGTAGGAGATCCTGAGCTCTGGCACAGTGGTTGATGTTGCCCTGGAGAAAATGGAGGGAATGGAATTGTGCCATTATTGACATTCCATCCCCTCGGCAACGGTCCTGGGCCGGGAGTCGGCCGCGGAGCTGCTAGCCTGCGGGGGCAGCGAGGTTAACCCGGCAGGCTTAGTGCTCCTCTTCTTTTCCTTTTTCTTTTTCTTGCTGGCAGGCGCCCCACAAGCCCCTCCGCCTACTCTGTGCTCCGCTGGCCTTCCCGCAGCAGAACAAAGGCTGCAGTTGAGCGCCGCGGAGCACAGGGCAGCCTTGTGGCCAGGCTGGCCGCAGCGATAACAGAGGTCACTACGGTCAACCTCGGCGGTGCACTTCGCCCGGACGTGCCCTTTTTCCAGGCACCGAAAGCACTGCAAAGCCCGGGGCTGTAAGAGCTTGGTCCTTGCCGCCACCCAGCCTACCAGCAATCTGCCGCTATCGGCGATCTTCTTTGCCGACGCTACAGGGCACCGAACCCAGACCGCGCCGAGTCCGGTGGCGTCGGTGCGTATATCGCCAGCCCGCACCTTGTCCGGCGGACACTCTCCGCTTCTGGCAACGGCCGCCACCACCTCCTCTGAGGTCACGGAGTCGTCCAGGCCAGCAATCCGCACCTCTGCGGTTTTCATTGGCCTGGAGACCCGGACGTCCTCTGGGTTGAGGACCTCCCTCATCTTGGCGGCCAGTGCGTCCGCCTTTTCGGCACTGCCGCTCACAGTGCCAGCCACCTCGAACAGTCGTGCACCCGTGGCAGCCTGCCTGAGGGTGACGGACTGAAGGCCAAGATCAGATAATTTGATCTTGGCCTTGGCCTCGGCGATGACCGACTGGTACGTCACGCCACGCTCCACAGCTCCAGGCTGCAACGTTATTGTCACAGCGTTGGACCGCGGAACATGTACAGCCGGTCTCTTGCGACCGCCTTTGGCAGTCCGCTGTGCAGGTTTAGGAGCCGTCTTTGCGGTTCCACCTGGGGCACATGCGGCTGCTGCGGCCTTCTTGGCGGCTTTGCGGGCCTTCTTGCGGCCCACGACTTTCGCCCAGGTCTCACCCTTAGACCCGGCAGTCGTGGGCTGGTTGCTCGGAGGAGCTCCCTCCGCGGGCTTTTTGTTACCCTCCGCGGGCTTCCCCTTTTGAGGCGCAAGTCTCGGCGGCTCCTCAGACCTCCGCGTGTCAGCCGCTAAAGGCGGACGGAGGATTTCCACCGGGAGACGCCGAGAAATTGCCTCCAGCCGAGCGTTAACCATGCTCCCGCACTGGAGCATGCAGAGCCGGACAATGCGCTCGACCTCTTCGTCGGTACGAGGGCTTGCCGGTTGCAGTGCGGGGGTCGGGTCCACTACAGGTGCGGCATCGCTGGACGTGCGTTGCTGCTGCTGCTCGCTTAGCGCAGCAACTTGCCGCCGGAGGTCCTCCAAGTCATTTCTGAGGCGGCTGTTTTCCTCCTGTAACTGTGCGACCTCGTCAGAGGCCGTCCTGTTGAGGAGGATGCCAACCGCCTCCCTGATATCCGCGGCAGCCTCCTTTAAGCCACGGGTGAACGTGCCCTTCAGGCTGCCGGACTTGGTGGCAACCTTCAGGACTAAGTCCACCCCATCCAGAGCCAGCTGGCTTAAGGCCACCGCAGATGGCTCTCCCCCTTCCGCCGCAAGAGCAGCTCGTCGCTCGCGAGCACGTCGGGCCATTTCCGACACTTCGTCGGCCGCGACGGCTTTGCGCTGCTCCCTCTTGGCGGCATTGAGCTCCGCCTTTGAGCTCCCCAGCGAGGCACAGCTTTCACCGCCATCGCCAGGGTCCTCCGTAGTGAACCCCATGTCACTATCTGCTTCGCTAGCCGCCGAGGTATTGGTGCACACGAACCGTCCGTGCTTATCCCTCCGCGGCTGCGAAGTACTTGCCCCTCTCGATGCCTGCCGACCCCTCCCCGAAGTCGGCAACTTGGGGGCCGGCAGGCCTTCCTCGTCTGACGATCGGCACACTGGACGTTTCCTAGCGGAAGACGTCCCACGCGATCGATTTCCGCCGCTACCAGTATCTGATCCTGCCTTCTCTACCTCTACTGTTTTTTTTAAATATTTTTCTTTCTCCATTTTTATCCCACGAGTGTGGAGGAAATAACAGTCCATCCGAGCAGAGCCCCCTTTGCCCGGATAAGCCTATGCGTAACCCGTCAAGGGTGTCGGCCGGTACCCCGACGGGGGCAACGCTAACGACTGAACATTTACCCATCAGCCATGCAGCTCCTCACGGCGTGCCACGCTTGAGCTTCGGGTGATTTTTTAAAGAGGTTATCATCCTCGCGACTCCAGGCGGTTAAGCCAAGAGCCCTCGGCCCCTTAGGCGCCGCGAGACGTGATCCACGACACGCCATAGGGATTCCGAGGTTCGAATGGTGGCAGAGTCGATACGGGTTCTTCTCATGCCTGCCCAGAGACCGGGTTAGGGAACACTGAGCCCATTCAGTTTCCTTTTTTATAGGGTGTGGTCCCTGAAAATCCCGCGATTACGGGTTGCCCGGCGTCGGCAAAAGCCGAGTGCACCTGGCACCTCACCGCGCATGTCACATTCTCTGTTCCTCTCAAGGGAGAGTATACAGGAAGCAACTAATAGGCCCTCCGCTATGCAAACAAGCCCTCACCCAGCCAGTTTTGGTCCGCGACGGTTTCCCGCTACCACCCATATCTGAGTGGCGTTCCCCTATCCGCCACCTGGGGACGCGCCCGATGGGAGCTCTGGCAACTCCACACGGGAACCTAACCTAACCTAACCTAACCTAACCTAACCTAACCTAACCTAACCTAACCTAACCTAACCTGACAGACAGGATCCTGAACATGGCGGATGCCATCTCGAGAACCTGTGAAACGGGAGATCCTTGGGAAAGCTGGACGGTGCCGACAATAAATTGGGTCAATGGGGTCCCGGGGTGTGGAAAAACGACTTGGATTATAAAACAATTCGATGCGGAGAATGACTTGATTGTCACTACAACAACAGAAGCAGCTAAAGACCTCAGGGAAAAATTAAGCAACCGCATTGGCACCGACGCAAAAACAAAAGTGCGCACTATGGCCTCAATTCTAGTAAATGGCATGAGAAGGCAAAACAGAAGATGCACTCGACTTTTAGTCGACGAAGCTCTCATGAACCATTTCGGGGCCATAGTAATGGCAATGCGACTGAGTGGAGCGGAAAAAATACTGCTCATCGGTGACATCAATCAACTTCCGTATATCGACAGGGAAAACCTCTTTGCGATGCAATATACTCGCCCAAGCCTCGTGACCACAATCAGCCAAGAACTCCTGTGTACGCACCGGAATCCGATGGATGTGGCATATGCCCTGAGTGAAATTTACAATGGCATATATTCATCCAGATCTCAGGTGCATTCACTGGAAAGGAAAAGGTACACGGGAGTAGTCATTCCAGGTACCCTGCCAAATACATTATATCTTGTATACACGCAAGCAGAAAAGGAGTCCCTTACAAGCCAGGGATATGGTTCGGGTCCTGGGTCGCGAATTTTAACCGTACATGAGGCCCAAGGCCTTACATACGGGACAGTGGTCATAATGAGGACAACAACAGAGAAGCACAAAATTTATGATAGCGTCCAACACGCAGTAGTGGCAGTGTCCAGGCACACAGTATCCTGTGTATATTACACGGACGATTGCGACGATGCGACTGGACGGCTGATTGAAAGCGCGATGGCTGCGACAACAAACAGAATTAAAGAATACAACCTAAAAATGGCACTAAAAAGCAGAGACGCAGCTGTCGTAGAGGCCCTGACAACGGCGAATTGATATAGCTGAAGA